TTAAATCAAAATAGCTATAGACAAAACTAAATCCCTCCCCAGCAACTCTCAAGCACGACTCCTTACACCGAGAAGCACCAACAACCCAAGACGACTACACGAAGAGCAAAGCCAAGATGAGAGACTCAAATTCGGCACTCCAAACTCCATAAAGTTATGGCTACTCAGATCCGAGCCAACAAGTTGATTCAACTCTTCAACCCCAGCAACCAAACAGCTGACGGTGACCGAACCAGAGGACTGCCAACACCACCCCGTCAACTGTGAGACCCAACCACCGACTGCCTGGAGAAATAAGAGCTCCAACTCCTCTGCAATCAGACCCAAAAGCGGTAGTTGAAAATCGCAGACACAGACGACACCAACGCTAACACCACCACCTCCTTGGCCGGCGTAGGTGCCTGAGACGGCGCCAACCTGCCCGTCCTCGCCGACAACGGCCACATCCGCAACACGAGGCGCAACAACGACCAAAACTCGCCGCAACGAGGCGACATTGAAAAAATGAATCTGGTTTTTTCTTGTGCGAGAGGAACCAATAGAGAGAGAAATTGTAGTTGTAATCTAGATTTGGTCCAGTTGAACTATGAACATACGGCTCTCTTCTAAAACATAGTTAAACCGACTCCAATGAAACACATCAATGAAAACGTGTTAGATTATTGTGGACAAACAGCGATTTGTAATGAGCTTAAAAACCGTCATCAAGTAATCAAATCACGAGCGACTGCTCTTTGATTTCGGTCGGCTGTATTTTGCCGCTTCGAATTCCAAATATTTATGCGTGTTGCTTTGCTCCCAAGTAAAAATCGCCCAACAAAATCTCATTACCGCACACCACAAGCAAAATACTCAACAAATCTTTCCTCTCGATTCACTACTGCTTCAATTCTGCGTTTCGTCTTCCAATTTTCCTTTTGTTCTGCTGCTACTGTTTGCCGGTGAAGACAAACGAGATGGCCGTCAAAGTAGGCGAGAAGGCCGACAACGATTACGGGGATGGAATTTCGTGGACCAGGGGTCAGGTTATAGGAAAAGGAAGCTTCGCTCACGTTTACAAGGCCAAAAATCTCCGACCGCGATACAGCTGTTTCCCACCGGAGATGGCCATGAAATCCGCCGACGCTTCTTATTCGAGCACGCTCCAGAAAGAGAAGGAGGTCTTGACCGACCTGAGCGCCAGCCCCTACGTCATCCAGTGTTTTGCAGACGAGACGACCGTGGGCGATAACGGCTTGTTAGCGTATAATCTGCTACTGGAGTACGCCTCCGGCGGAACCCTAGCCGACAGAATCGACAGATCGGGCGGCGACGGGTTGCCGGAACTCGAAGTGAAGATGCTTACGCGGTCTATTCTCAGAGGGTTGAACCACGTCCACGAGTCTGGATACATTCATTGTGATATAAAGCCCGATAACATTCTACTCGTGCCAAAATCAAGAAAATTCATGGCGAAAATCGGGAATTTCGGCCTAGAAAAGAGGGGAAAATAACACTCACGGAAGAGGAAACGAGCTGGGCCCGACTGCTGGAGGGGCACGCCGATGTATTTGTCTTCCGAGGCCGTGGCGGACTTCGACCAAGAGGCGCCGTCCGACGTTTTGGGTTGTCGGGTGCATTGTGCTTGAGATGCTGACCGGGAGGCCGCCGTGGGGTGGAAAGAAAAAGGAAATTCTGAAAAGATTAGGGGCAGGACAGGAAATTCCTGAAATTCCTGAGGGGTTATCGAGGGAAGCTAGTGATTTTCTCGAGACTTGTCTGGTGAGGAAGCCAATGTTCAGGTTCACTTGTGGAATGCTATTGAATCACACGTTTTTCGAGGGTTGGGGTGACGATTTTGATGATGATGATGAGGTTGAGGAATTAGAGGAATCCAAGAAGGGTTCGTTTTGTTCGTCATCGTCGTCCGCTGGGGAATTAGAGGAATCTGAGGAGGGTACGTGTCATTCATTGCCGGCTGGAGAAAGTAAAACAGAAGAGGCGGCCAGTCGAGATTTTGACAGATCAGAGGAGGTTGAGTCCAAAGAGATACCTTTGCAACCTGCATATGAAAGTAAACATCGTCCAGTTGGTGGTCCCATCATCCCTGCAGGGGTCTAAAAGAGAAGTATATTATGAGGCTGCAAATTGTCTGGTTTTGGCAGCCTATTGAAAGAATACTGTTGATTTCACTAACTTGTGAGAATTATGTTGTAGTTGCAAGGGGAGAACTGAATATTTTTTTCCCCCATAGATTGATTCTTCAGATTATTGAATTTGTGAAAAGTTGTTATTGCCCTTTTTCTTAAGAAATTGTTTGGTTGCATAACCGCAATATTTGTTCAAATTATTTAGATAATAAAAAACGTTAGATGCCAATTAAATTGCACCCATTTTCCCGTGAGTATCAAAGTGAGACACAGCCACCACCTATTACTCCGCACACACAACACACAGACATGGCGGGTCAGAGACGATCCCTTTTCTCTATCCCCTCTGGTATTCTCAGCTCCAATCGGACGTCGCTCGACAGGCTCCAATCTCCCAAGTATCGCCAACAAATTTCATTTTTCTAGGTTTGTTATTTTATCAGTTGATTTTTAGGTAATTTCTTTACTTGGTATAATTTTGCTTTATCTTACTTGCACTTTATCGATTGATTTATATATATACATTGGTTCCTTACTTGCATTGTATCGATTGATTTATATATATACTTTGGTTCCTTCCTCAGTTTCAGCTCGTCAAGTGCAATTGGCCAATCCCTAAGTATCGATCTCTCCAATGAAGAAAGCAAAAGGCGATTGTTTAACAGGCAGGCTTATTGATCGTTGTATCTTGTTGCCTGTGTAATTTGCTCCAGATTCTTTTGTGATTGTGGGTGTGGAGTAATGTATTGTGTGTTTTGGATTTACAGGCTTCTGTATAGAGGTAAAATGTGAAGGTACCTTGAGCTGGACCTGATTTTGGGAAATTGATGGAGGATAACATTCGGTCCCTGGATTAAAATGGGATCAAATATCTTGTTCATGTCCTTGACTTGGTATGCACTCTTATTTATTTATTTTCAATCTTCTACTAGGTATGATTGTCAGGAAAGAGATGCTACCAGGGAATTAATTAGTCTGCTTTCTTTGATTCCATTTGCATATATATTGAACTGGTATTTTCTTTCTGGTGGAACTTTCCGTATGAAATCCAATAAGAAAAGATGCCCATCTTCTCTTTTATGATCATGTATTTTTTATCTCATAATGTGTATTTATGGTTATGATTGGATCTCTCACTGTTGATATAATTAGGGTAGGTGATAAAGCCAAACCCAGGTGACTGGTTTCTGCACTCTGGATGATCATTTAAAAACTTCAAACAAGAATTTGAGCCTTTTTATCATTTGGGTTTGGAGTCTAATTGAACGGCAGTTCATTTTTTGTGAGATACCTAGGATGATTTAGTTGTTATTGCTGGTATTTGCCTTATGTTGTGGGTTCATCAATTTAACCTCTGCGGAGTTTGCATATATTTTGTGATAAAGGATTAAATATTAGAATGCAGTTTCACAGATTCATGTCAGCATCCTATGAGTTATGATGAGCAATTTGCCACCGACAAGCGACAACCAGTTGAGGTTATTACATGAATAGGAAAAACTGGCATGCCTTGCGTACTAATGCGCAAATAAATCATTTCCTCGTTTAACTTTTTCAAAAGGGTCTAGGGCTACCATTGGGGAGAAAATTACCATTTCAGGAAATAGCATAATTAACAAAAGGAGAAAAGAATCGTATAATGAAGGTTTGAGCAGTTCTCCACATTGCTTCCTTTGCATCCATGTAAAAGCTCTTGACATCTCAAATTTTTTACCATTGAGAGCCCAAGTGCTCCCCAGTGACTCGCATTTAGTAATTGGTTCCTTGCTGTCTAAATCTCTCGTATAGTAGTATGATGATTGCTTGGTCTTTGTACCAGTAAAAACCTCTGGGCGAATATTAGTCTTGTGAAGATTTTTGCAAACTCCTGCTTTCTAGTTTCATGTTTCTAAGATATCACATTCTTACTGAATGCAGGAAAATGTTCCAGATCTATGGGAATGGCTGATTGGTGAAGAACTACCCCCGGAGCCAGTGAGCGTTCCAAGAAATAGAAAATGATGTTATTATAATTACATTTATGTTTGTTCATTGTTTGTGAAGATTTGTAGACATTACATATATATTATATATATATAGGTTTTGTAGTTATGGACCAAGAATCCATTAAAGTCATTAATCATTTATATAGGCTCAAGTGATAAGATTGATTTTATGGGTTGTATTTTATTGACATGAGACAAGCAACTCACTATCATCTTTTGACCACTTCCCATTTTTATTCCTAAAAAATTCGTCACTATTAAGATCTCAACAAATACAAAGGCAAAAAATCTAACATAGATTAATTCACGCTAACCAGAAAACCCACCCACCCCAACAATGGCGGCAAAAACAACAATTCCCCCAAAACCCTCCATTTCCCTATCCCTCACACTCTTCCTTCACTCTACCCATCTCTTCGCCCCTCTCCTGGGGTCGCCCGACCCGGTGCCCGCTCCGTGGCCCCACCAATTCCACTCGATCCTCTTCATGAACAAAACCACCGAGGGCACCCTGCTACTGATCGACCTCTGGTACGACTACCCCAACGGCCGTAACTTCAATATAATCCAGTACCAGTTGGGCAAGAAGCTGTACAACCTCGAATGGAACAACGGGACCTCCTATTTGTACACGCTGGACGACAACAAAGAGTGCCAGACCAAGCATGTCCCGGTTGGAATCTTGCGGCCCGATTGGCTCGACGGGGCGAATTATCTGGGTCGGGTTTATAAAGATGGGTTTTTGTGCAACGTGTGGGAGAAGGTCGACTTCATTTGGTATTATGAGGATGTTGCCACCAAGAGACCCGTTTACTGGGCTTTCTACACCGGTATATGCATCGGTTCTGTTTCTGTTTTGATTTGAACAACTGAATCTGGGTTTCTTTTGGTTGTGTTGATTATGAGATCATTTTCCATTTTTTGATCGATTTTCTTACTGGGACCAATTAATTCTGTTAGCAGCCAATTGATTTCTGCAATTATTGCAATAGTAGGATGAAGAGTAGAGTAACTTTAGCAACAGCTGGTGTGTGTTTTTCTTTAACTTCTTTGCTTGTTGGTTAAATTGACTTCGAATGAGTTTTATTAAGGACATTAATTGAATCCGAGCGCTCAGCTTGATATATTGTAGAACAAAAGAGTGGTTTCCACTTCAGCTATTTGAGAAGGCACTATGCATTGATCTAGAACTGAACTACAACAAGCATTTGCTTGCTGATTTCGATTTGAGTACTGGGTGGTTTAATTGCAAGGATTTTATTGTTGTTGAGATGTCGAATGCTTTTGTTTCTCAGTGTTGCATTTTGACACCAATGGTGTGATTATTTATTTTTTTTTATTTTTATTTTTTTATTTTTGGTTTGGTTTGCAGGGATGGTAGCACATGTGATGACATTTGAGGTTGGGAAAGTGCTTGATGACCCCAATTGGCAAGCTCCTGTCTACTGTTTTGAGGAGGCTGCAGAGAAAAAGAACATTGCGATTCTTGATTCGGCATCTGGTTTCTCAATGAGAGATGTCCAAAGTACTGTTAATCCTATGGTGATTTAGCATGGCAGCTTGTGCTTTATAAATGAAATCCATCTTTCAGCTATGTTTTTGTACTTGACTTCTGTTGCAAGAGCCTTGTGTTGTTGATGTCATGTGCTATTTTATTTTTTCCAAATCCATGTAAGAGTCCATTTTGCTGTAAATTTCATCGTTTTGGAATAAACTGTACAAAAATAAAATGGTTGTGTATGTTTTGAAATTCATGGCCCGAGTTTTTCACTTTTTTGTGTCAAGAACTATAAGGCTTACAAGCAAAATTAATGAAGTAGGCAGTTCTATGGCTAAATTTTGATACGGGCAATGCAGCTGTTGTCATTAATTTATTTGTGAGATAATGCAACTTACATGACACTTATAAGTATTTGAAAATAATAACAAATGCTAGTACAATATCAGTGTATTGCACGGGTGTTAAATTAGAAAGCTTTTGTAAAAAATATTAAATTTTTTGTTGTTTTTAAAAATTAAAATAATTAAATTTTATATAAAACATTAAATTTTATATGAAACATTACTTTGGGTTTTAATTAAATTGTCAAATTATATTTTTTTTAATCATAATAATTAAACACTCGTACATTAAATGAAAATGTCAACTCGTATTGAACTTTTTTACTTATATCATATAAAAATATCGACATTATTTACTATTGCATAAGTACAAAAATATATATCTTAAATAAATAAAAATAATATGTGATATGTATGTGCATAAGTGTAAAATATGTTTATTTAATATTAAGCAAAATAAATTAATTTTTTTACTTAATTAGATGTCTAATACATCAAGTGTCGTATCAAGGGGCGAACGCAGACTTTAAGGTCAACATGATCCTTATTTATAATATTTGTTTTTTATAATATAATTTATAGTTTTATTTGATAAATAAATTTAAATTTTATTTATAAGGATATATATTACTGTTTTATATTATATATATATATAATATAGGTGTCAAATCGAAAATTGTTAAAAGATAGTTAATTTGATATATCATATATGAAATATAAAATACAAACAAAAAAGTTATAAAATCTTAAAATAAGAAGAAGAAACATTTATAAAAACCAATGAATAAATTATATAAGAAATTTTTGATTGGTATAAGATTCTTAATCCGTGTAATTTTTGTGGTTCAATATTGATAGTTTCACACCAATTTATTAAGCAAAAAATCCTATTTACACGTCATATAAGATAAGAATAAGAATTATATTTATTTTGGAGTTCGAGGGGATCGGATTAAACAAATATAATTGTATTAATTTTTATCCGAACCAAAAGCCGAAACATGTAATGTTGCCAAGTAAACTTCCGAAGCGTGCGAGCCAGCCATTTAGGCTCAGCATGTTTTGAAATTATATTAAGGGTGGATTTTGCTATAAATCCTTTACTTCACGTTATGCAAAACTAGTGTGTACCCCGTGCGATGCACGAGAACAATATTAAATTAACAATATTATAAATAGACCTCGAGTTTGAGTCACTCAATGGCGGAAGTGGAAACTACTATTGATCCTATTTAAAAAGAGGAAGAAAAAATAATAATTATAAATTAAAGAGGAGGATAAACAATACTTAATAATTATAAATTAAAGATTCGGTAAAATTATTATGTATAAGAGAATATAAAAAAATTTGATTACATACCATTTTAAAATTATTATTATACTTTTTTGTATGATTAGCTTATAATATTTGTAAAAATATTAGTAATTAGACTGATGAAAATTAGCTTCTTAAAGTAGATATTAAAATATTTGTAAAAATATTAGTAATTAGACCGATGAAAATTAGCTTATTAAAGTAGATAATGGATTTCTAGTAGTAATTATGAATTGGTTTCTATTTTATTTTATTTTTTCTTTTTAACGGATTTCTAGTAGTAATTATGAATTGGTTTCTATTTTATTTTATTTTTTCAAATCTGTATAGATAAGGGATGAGATTTTTTAAAGACGTGAGACGTATGCAATGGGATTTTGTAACAGAAGAGATAAACTCGTGTAGATTTATACTAAAAATAGGAAAAAGAAAACAAATATTTATTGTTAAACAACGATTTTGATAAACTAAAAATCAGGAAAAAGAGAAACAAATTTTTACACAATTAATGAGCTAATTTATTTGCCTATTCAGATTTGTCCAACAATAACTATATATAGGATATATTTAATGATTTTGGCGGGAAAATGTTTCTAAATTTGTAAAAAGGTTATTCTTTTTATATAATGATAGATTATCTAAAGTTCCCTAGACTTAATTTTGAAAAAATGGTATGATTAGTTGGTAGTGGGATTTTGATTTAAATAATATTAAAAATAAAATAATTAAAGTTGATTTAATGTAAAATTATGAGAGAGATTGTCTGTGATGTTTAGTTAAAATTATGTGAGTGAGTGAATATAAATCAAAGTAACGTGATGTGTAAGAATTATTGGATGTTTAGTTAAAATTATGTGAGTGAGTGAATATAAATTAAAGTTAATGTGATGTGTAAGAATTATTGGTGTATTGATAATATTGAGAATAGTTGAGTTGGGTTAAAGTTGAGTTAAATTTTGAGTATGAATTGATATCATTTTTATTGGTATTATATTTAATTTTGAAAGTTAAGCTATGTATAAATATTTATATGGTAAATATTTACTATAAGATACAATATTATTAACACTTTGATGTACAAAATTTATATGTAAAACATTTATTTCTATTGCTATTATGCATATTTATATGATAAAAATACTATACGTATAATTTTAAAATATAAAATTAATTATTCAGTTTAACAATTGATCTAGTACCCGATGGTTGAACCGCTGACCCAGAGGTTTGACTGGTCAATTTTTGAGGCGGGTATAAAAACCTAGTAAGAATTTTGAGGGGATGCTTGTTTATAAAAAAATTTACTCACATTTAATTCATACTCAAAATACAACTCAACTTTAAACCCAACTCCACTACTTTTAATATTATTCATATAATTAAATAATATCAATTAATTATTTTTACACATCACATTAACTTTAATTCACTATTCATTCACTCGCATAATTGTAACTAACTATCACTTTATATCATCTCTCTCTTATTTTTACATCAAATCAATTTTAATTATTTTATTTTTAATATTATTTTATCATAAACTCAAAATTCCACTAACAACTAACAATACTATATTTTTTAAAGTTAACCATAATTAATCCAAAAAAATTCCACTAACAACTAACAATACTATATTTTTTAAAGTTAACCATAATTAATCCAAAAAACTCGTATTGAGCGGATTAATTTGTAAACGGAATTTTCAGATCAGTTTTGGACTGGACATAAATTTGAGCCTTGGGCCTCAAAGTTACCCAATTAGCTCTGCAAGCAAATATTTTTTCTTTACTCATAAAAAAGCAAATGAAGATAAAAATAAAGAAAAAGAAAAAAAAATCGAAACCGATTTTAAGCTTTCTCCTCAAACATTGATGATGGGTGTACAGAGTGAGGATTGAGCAGAGCAGCAGCCATGTGCAACGGCTCGGTTTCGAGTTCGGACTCGGATTCGGGCTCAAACGGGTGGGCAAAGGCCCGTGGTATTGTACTGAAAACCTTGGTCGTAGTCGGCGGCGCGTTGCTGCTTAAGCGTCTCACCAAGTCCACCACTCGCTGGGACCACACGCGCATCGTTTCAGACTCACTCGCCGGCGAGAAGGTAGCTTTTTGTGTGTGTGTGTGTGTGTGTGTGTAATTTCACCGAGTTGGCTGTTTATTGAGTGTGCTTTTCCGGTTTCCGTCACTGACAGTTTGAATTCTGAATTGGTAGTTTTCGAGGGAGCAAGCAGCGAAGGACCCGGACAATTATTTCAATTTGAGGTACAATTTTGTTATTCATTGAGTTTCTTTCATGGAAATTACACCAAGTGGTTTTTGGGAGAATTTATAATGCAGTGAGGTTGATTGCAGAATAGCTTCTGTAGCTTTCTCTTAGTGAGACGATGATATCAGTGCGTGGTAATTGTATTAAATCTAAAAGCTTTGGTATGATATTCATCTTCGTTTCATTGCGTTAGAGGCTTATAGGCTTATATATAACTTACGGATTTAAAATCATAAAGAACCTGTCCATGATCCTTGTTTTCAATCACTTTTAATTTTTTATTTTTGTTTGATTGTGATTCCTCTTACTATTTTCGGCTGAAATCAACAAGGAGTTCGTAATATTTTTTTCCACTCTCTGAAATGGGCAATTGATTGCTGTTGCCTATGTTTGAGAAAATGTTTCAGTTATTCTTCTGTTTTGTTGGTTATGTAATATCATTGCATTATCTGCATTTTCAGATGGCTTTCATGCCCAGCAGCAGAAATGGTGGATGGTTCAAGGGTTTTGTACTTCGAACAGGTACAATTTAGACTATTTAGTGAAATCGTCTTCAATATGTGTACAATGTTGCATAATGTTTCCCAACTTTAAGGATTCCTCAGTGGAGTTTTTTGTGGACAGGCATTCTGGAGAACTCCTCGCAAACCATTTAGGCAGGTATTCAAGAGTTTAAACCCTAATCAGTTTTGATGCCCATTCTATAGTAGCAATTTATTTAATGATGCAGTAGTACATCTCTATTATTCATTCTCATCGTAATATGATGTTTGACCGTAAACAAGCAATTATACTATCAAACGCTTGTGTTTCTTTTGTCTGCTCCTTCACATTGGGCTGTGTTAACATTTCCATTACAAGAATGTGAAGTTTCTCAATAACTCACTGCCAACATTCCTGCTTGTTACTAATTTTAACAGCCCTCTTGTTGCAGAGATTTTTCATGGTAAAGCCTTGTTCGAAGGACATGAAATGTGATGTTGAGGTTAGTTCAAAGTCTTGTTTTGCTTATATAACTTCCTTTTTTTTAACTGTATATATAACTTCCTCTACTTATTATTGGTTAAAGATGTCAATATACTTTGGTTAAAAGATTATTATTGTTACCGTATGATTAGCCATTATCTCTACTGAAGTTAATGATAAATCCCTGGCTCATTTGACAGCTTAGTACCTATGCAATCCGTGATTCGGAGGAATACAAGAACTTCTGCGATCGGTCAAAGGACCAAAGGCCACAGCCTGAAGAAGTAATTGGGGTAAGTTTTATTGAGAATACACGTTGACAGTGAAACTGAATAATCTTATGCCCAGACCTTTTTCTTCTCTTTTCTGTTTTTGTATGTGTGTGTGTAAAGACCTCGTTGCTACCTTGCAGACCCCATTATTCAGAATCAGGCTTATTGTTATTTATGATCCTTTCTGTCCCATTTTTTACTAGTTTTTTAGTATCTCATCATTATCAGGCGTCATTATATATTTTATAAGGATATTGCAAGCTGAAATAGCAATGGATCAGATTATGAGAAGGAGAAGAATGGGTTCCTATGATGAAAGGACATTCTATATTCCAAGTTGCAACATTATAACAAAACATTCCTTACAAATTCTTGTAAATAGTTTTGCTATGCACCATGGTTATAGCTCTCTGGAATTTGCAGCGCGTTTTCCCTTGGGAAGCAGGCACTTCACTCTGAACCAAGGGTTAAAATTAAAACTGAAGTCTGACAAAGTTTAAAAAAGACATAGGTAAGTTAGAACAAGTTTGAAACAAGACTAAATTCTAAGGGTATGATTTGATATGAAAATGTAATAATGGAAGTCGATATGCTGGTTTTTCTTAGTATTAGTGATTTTATGTGATAATAAGTGATGGCACAGTAAGAAAGAGAGGATTTAGTATGTCTCATATAAAACTGCCATATTGATTAGCTGATATATATATATATATATATATATATATATATATATTTATATATATATATTTTATTTGGTGAATTGAATTGGATTCTATGGATGGTTTAAACACGGAAAATAAATGAAACTGCTTGTCACAAGCGAAATTCTACAGAGATTTCTCACAATCAAACAGTCAATGGCGCAAGGATTCTTTCTAGTTCTTACAATAATGTGGAGGGCGACGTATGTGAAAATTGATCTTCTTCGTAAATTTTATTAGCCTAAGATTACTGAAAAACTGCAAATTTCTCAAATATTGGGACAGCTCACATTACCTATGATCAATAACCTTGGTTTCCAGCTCCAAGTATGTGAACGTAGGAGTATATGATTTGCTGTCCTTATACTTGTAAATTCATTTGGTTTTTGTATGTAAGAAAATATCTTCTCAACCTTTGCTTTGAGTGGGCTGTGTCTTTTTATTATTTAATATCAGCAAATCCCACAGGACATTGCAGAACATTTGACCACCATTTACCTCAAACGATGTGATCGAGGCAAACGTTGTTTATATGAAGGCTCAACTCCTCCAGATGGATTTCCTAATTCATGGGTATGTCTGGTTGATACTTTTGACCGCCTCCTATCAATATTTCCCTCCAATTTGTGCACAGTAAATGATTGTGTTCATTTTATGCTTACTGTATGTTCTCTACATATTGCAGAATGGGGCATCATTTTGTACATCGGAACTTACAGTTATGAAGAACAGCGAAATACACACGTGGGATAGAGGCTATGATGAGAATGGGAATCAAGTTAGTTTCAACCCAAAATGTTTCTTTCTTTCTTTCTTTCTTTTTTTTTTTTTTTTTTTTTTTTT